CTTTATTTTTTAAAACAGTAGAATTTATTTCTATGTCTTTCATTTATGGCTGCGCTGCGTTTCGGTTGCTGTGTGGGCTTTCCCTAGCTGTGGTAAATGGGGGATGCTCTCTAGTTGTTGTGCACAGGCATTTCATTGCGTGGCTTCTCCTGCTGTGAAGTACACACGGGCTCTAGGGCACTCAGGCTCAGCGGTTGCCACTCCCAGGCTCTGGAGCCTAGCCTCAGGAGCTGCGGAACACGGCTTAGCTTCTCCATGGCAGGCATGATCCTCCTGGATCAGGGATGGAACCCATGTCTCCTGTATTGGCAGGCAGATTCTTTACCACTGAGTCACCAGGGACGTCTCATTTTAGTGTATTTTAAAAACAAACACACAAAACAATAACTTTTATTCTTATTCACCCTTTTATATTTTATTTTTTTATGTGTTTTCTATTTTCCAAAATAAGAACCTTGGGATCCTTTTCATTGATATCTTTTCATTAAGAAAAATGATGTAAAAAGGAAGAAAGAAGAAAAATAATAGAAGGAAGAAGAAGAAGAAAGGAGATGAGAGAAGAAAGAAAAACAAGAAATGTAACTTTTGTTTTAAGCTATTGTGCCATAAAGTTTGAGATGAAGTGGCTTCTTTTTCATTACTTTTTACTTTATAGTTTGAATTTTGTTTTCTTCTTTATCCTTTATTTTTAAGCAGTTAATATATTTGGATTCTGTTTCATTTTGATTGCTTTTTATTAGTTATTTTTTTTAAGTTCTCTACATTCATTAAAAAGAAAAAAAAAAGTGTTTCTGTGTAGGCCTTCACGTAATTCATTTTCGATGTACAAGCTCAAAAATTTATTTTCTCTGTTTCAGAAAAACAAAGAAACCAGTCTATATTCATTACATTAATTTTATTAATTGCATTATATAACTACTCTGTATCCATACTTTTTTTGTTTTACCTGTTTTAACTCTTAAAGAAGAGAATTTATGCCTTCCAAAATAATTTTATTTTATTACATTCTCCTGAGATTTCTAATAGCTTTTGTTTTATATAACTAGCTGTTTTGTTGTTTGGTACATATATAGTGCACCAAAGATGCTGTTATATCTTTTACAGATAGTGTGTTTCTATTATTACATAAGGTGTAAGGTCCTTCTTTGTCACATTTATTGTTTCTAATCTTAAATTTTAACATGTAATATTAATAATGCCACTGCAGTTTCTCTTTGTTTCATTAGTCTGGTATCTCTGTCTCCATTCCTTTATTTTCAAGCTTCTTTTTATTGCTTTAACTATATTTCTTATAAACAGAATATATTTATCCCTTTGTGTCAAAGGGATTGGTTCCAGGACCTCCCACAGATACCAAAACCTATGGATGCTCAACTTCCTTATATAAAATAGGGTAGTATTTGTGTAAAACCTATGTACATACTCCCATCCACGTTAAATCATCTCTAGATTACTTACAATAGCTAATACAATGTAAATGCTATGTAAATATTTATAAATATAATGTAAATGATATGTAAATAGATGCTGATGCTAGGCAAATTCGAGTTTTGATTTTTGAAACTTTTCAGAATTTTTTTTTAAAATAAGACTTTCTATCTGTGGTTGGTTGAATTCACAGATGTAGAACGCATGTATACATAGAGCTGATTGTATAATTGTTATTTTTTTAAACTCAGTCTGAGAGTCTCTGTTTTTTAAAGGGAAAATTCAGGCATTTCCCTGGTGGTACAGTGGATAAGAATCTGTCTGCTAATGCAAGGGACACGGGTTCGATCCCTGGTCTGGGAAGATTGCACGTGCTTCAGAGCAGCTAAGCCCAGGTGCCACAACTACTGAGCCGACACACAGCAACTGCAGAAACCTGAGTGCCTAGAGTTAGGGCTCCGCAACAAGAGAAGCCAGCCGCCATGACGGCTTCACACCTCAATGAAGAGTAGCCCCTGCTCACTGCAACTAGTATAGCCAAAAATAAATGAGTAACTTTTTTAAAAATAAAGGGAAAATTAAAGCAATTCAAATATAGTGTGACAGATATTTGATACCAATATTTTGTGATTTTATATCATGCTTGTTCTTTATCATTTTTATTATATTTTATAAATTGCATTTCCCCTTATTTTGGAAGCATCCTTATATTTTCTACTCAATTAATAGTTATATATTCTATCAGTTCAGATTGTGATTGAGAGTCTTACATACAACCAGTATTTTGTGTGTGTGTGATATACTTGAATCTACTTAAGTGCTTTTTATTATTTTTTTAAATCAAATTATCCCTGTCTCCTCCAGAATCTTTATCTGTTCTACTTATTTTATAGCTGATTGCTAAATGAGCTGGACTTGGCAGGATGAACAAACAGGAAAAAACTTTTTTTTTTTCAAATTTTTTCTCACTGCTAATCCTACAAAATTACTATGTTTGCTTATTCCTCCCCATCCCTAGGTGAAACCTCTGTCAGTTCTCACGCCCTTTTCCCTATTATATCCTGCCTGGACGGCCACCATTTGCTTGCTGTGACTCTTTAGATGGGTTGCTATTTTTCTTATATGGCTCAGAGAAGTTTAGGTCTGTTTATGGCAGTATTTAGTGACCACAGCTGTGTAAATGGTAGAAGGTAAAGTCCTTTTCATTATGGACTGGTTCTATAAAAGCAAGCAGAATATAACCCTCTGCTGAGGCATTTAAGGGAAAAATTCTCTGAGTTCCAGGTTTTTTCATAGGTTTAGTGTTTTCTTCTTAGTCTCCTGGGGACCAACGAGACCAGGAACACTTAGAGAGAACCAGAGACAATCTTTCCCTGGGGTAATCTACAGATTCCAACTGCCAGCCAGTCCCTAGACACAGCACAATTTCCATTACTGCTTTCTAACTCGGAGACTGGTCTCCAGAGCCATATTCAGATCTCAGCATTAGAACAGAAACCTTGTCTGAACTTGCACCCCACTTTTTGCAGATCCCAGCATCTGTTTGGCTAAGGAGATAATAGATTAAAGCTGAGAGTAGAAGAGAAAGGTGGTGAGCTTATGTCACCATCTTCCCACAACCCACTGCTCCCAGCTGTCCAGCTATTTCAACGGCCAATCCTCAGTGAGATGGAATTTTTAAATTGAGTTAGTGCCCTTCTAAAGAATAAAACGCACATGCTTCAGCAGAAACTTCCAAAAATAACATACAAAATCCTCAGTTCTAATTTAAGTTTACTTTGGGCTAAAGTCTGAAGACTGACTGTAGTTAGGTTTAGCCTCTAATTTAGAAAAGGTTGTAATAAGAGACCTTTGGGAACATCTTTTAAGAAGTTATGCTTACACTAAGAGCAGGGGAAAGGATGGGCTTCCCTGGTGGCTCAGAAGGTCAAGAATCTGCCTGCAACACAGGAGACCAGGGTTTGATCCCTGGGTTGGGAAGATCCGCTGGAGAAGGGAATGGCAACCCACTCCAGTATTCTTGCCTGGAAAATTCTAAGGCTAGAGGAGCCTGGCGGGCTATGGTACACGGGGTCACAAAGATTCAGGCACAACTGAGCGACTAACACACTTACATTAAGAATAGGAGAAAGGATGGGAATAAAAGGGGAATTTTAAATAAATGCTTACCATACTCAAGAGACTCCACATTGTTTATTTAATCTTTAAAACGAAAGTGAAAGTCATTTAGTTGTGTCTGACTCTTTGTGATCCCGTGGACTATACAATTCATGGAATTCTCCAGGCCGGAATGCTGGAGCAGATAGCCTTTCTCTTCTCCAGGGGATCTTCCCAACCCAGTGATCAGACCCAGGTCTCCCACATTGCAGGCAGATTCTTTACCACCCAAGCCACAAGGGAAGCCCAATCTTTAAAATAATCATACTGTAAAACAAGGTATTATTGTCCTCATCTTAAGGCAGGAATATAGAAAAGTGAGACTCAGATAGTTGACATTATTTGCCCAAGTTGACTCATTGACCCTGCCCAGATTCAGGGTCTACACCTGTTTCTCTTGTACTGAATATCAGGAAACCCTACCATCATCACTTGTGCTATTACTAGGTATATTTTCTATTTCTTGTCATTTTTACTGTTAGTGGTTAAGAGTCTGTGTTTTCTCTTCTGAGACCACAGGGTAATTAGGGAAACTATTTTGCTTTGCAGTAAGCCGTCGGGATTACTGCAGGGAATATGGTGGTGGGGTGGAGATAGGGGGAGAATGGATGAAGCAAGCAGAGAGAGCAAGGTCGATCCCTGTTTTCTGAAAAGAAAGATGACTTCATGACTTTGAGCTGCAGCTGTTGCTGCTTCTCCTCTCCACATAACCAAAAGAAAGGTAATTAGCCAGGTAAATTTGTGTGTTCCTGCTCTATTACTCCCTACATAACTGAACCCACCACCTTATCTTGAATCCTTTTCCTCTGGTTCTTCTCTCCTTTACAGAGTCTCCAGTTAACATTCTCTTTCCTCCATCTTCATTTTCTCTCCTTGTCATCCTATTTGAGAGCCAAAATCTGCTTCTACTCATGAAGAGATGCCCAAGAGTAGCATTGATGACACACGATAAAGAAAACCTCCAGTCGGTGGAAAGAGAGACACCTGAACAAGTTCACTTCCTTACTCTTTTTTTTTTTTTCACTTCCTTACTCTTGAAAGTTTCCCAAAGACCACCAAAACCTTCCTTTAACTGAAATGCTTCTAAATTAACCTACTTCTCCTCAAGTACTAACAGTTAAAACTTTAAAAAAGAAAAGTCCTTAAACAAGTAGATTACCAATGAACTCCTGAATTGCAACTTGTTTCTGAGTTCTGCTTTTTTACTGTTTGAGTTAATGAGAAGTTAATAAATAGAATAGCAACTAATTTAAAATTTTCAATCTTTTATAGGATTTACTACCAAAATTATTTACTTACTAAGGATCAGTTGTGCTTTTAAATTGTTTAACAATTCAGAAAAAGTCAAAGTCACACTTGATAAAGGCATTCTATAGTAAAGAAGTCTCAACATTTACTAACAAAAAGACATTTGAAATTTTGCAAAGGCTTTTAATTTCATGAATTGCTAATGTAATATTGTAATAGTTTCCATCAATTATCCAAAGTGCTTTTATACAATTAATTCCACAACTTTCAAATTAATGTCATATAGTTTTATTTGATATCTAGTTATGGAACAAAGTTTTGATGTTATTTGGCTTCCAATAGCAAATATCCAGAGTCAGTCTATACCATTCTTGGTCCTGAATCATACTTAACTGTAGGAATGCTGATGACTGAGGAATCAAATTGAGATAAGAGAAATTTCTGAACTAGTTCCTCTTGGTGATCATTATTTCCTAATTTTATCCTCTTATTTACTGAAAATATTATATCACTGTTGGTTTGTAATTTCAATTTCTATTCTTTGTTCTCTTCTACCATCCACTAGAATATTACCATTTAGACAAGAATTTCTTCTATGATCTTCTAACTTCGTTATTTGCTTCTTGTTACCCCCAAAATGCTGAATAAACAATATTTTATGAGGTGCTTATTTTTCACTTGACAAGTTTAACAAATCATCCAATGCTGTTACATTATTTATTTTATGGACTTTGAGTATATTTCTTGAAGGCTTTGAGTAATATTTGACAGGTAAGGCACTGAATTCTCTCATTGGTTTTACTGTAGAAAACATTTTTTCAAATTTTCCAGTTTTAGCACTCATTTCTTGAATAACAGTTTTATCAAGGAAACCCACAAATTTTTTTTTTAAGCTGGAAAATGTCTGTGAAAAATTATAGAATTTATCCCAAGATATGTTTTCGAATGTCTGCTTCCTAGTTTTCTTCCTTAGTTTATCATCTACAATCCTATGGCTGACTTCAAAAGATATTGCTGGTATATCTTTCTTCTGTGTTGTAGGCAGAGTTCTTTGGGTTTTGGAAGGAGTAATATATTGATCTCTAGATACAGATTTAAGCATTTCACAATTTCTTTCTAAAACAACATTTGATCTTTCATATGGGCAACCATTTCCATTTTCCATAGAGTGGGGAGAAAGCCTATTTTTTGTCAAAAGTAACATTTGTACATATTCAGCCTCATGGAAAATTATGGGGTTTGTATCATTTTTTCCCTGTGGATTAAAGAAAAGAGTCTTTGTTATCTGTCTATTGAGGCAAGAAGGCTAAGTAGTTTTTAAAACATAAAATAAAATGGCAAAATATTCTAAAAGTAACCTCATAGAAATTTTTAATATAAGCAGTAATAGTATTTAAACATAACAAAAAGATGTCCTTGTATGTTATACACTTCCTTCTCTTAGTATTCTGTTGCAATGTTAGGGGTAAAATCTGAACTTCTGGCCTCCTAAAATTCTTTTTGAAATAGCGTGAGATGTAAAGAAATGTTTGGTGCTGCCACTGGGAAATATGATATTTGGTAGCATGGAACATTGTCCTGGCATCTCTTAGGTTTCCATGTCCAGAAGTAAGCAGCATACCAAACAATAGATTGAGTAAAGATCAAAAGAAACTGATTACATAACTGATTACAAGCCAAAATTACAGTCTGAATAGCCTAATAAATTCAGAAAGTGTAAAATTTTTCTTTAAAAGACTTACATTCATTATTGTATCCCAACACATAGCACAATTTAGCACAATAAAAAGTGCTCACTATATTATATCTGTGAAATAAAAGAGCCAAAGTAGTAGATTGACTTAAAAATAGAGTATTTTTTATCACAATAGTAGCAAAATCTCTACACATTTCCATTATAAGGAAAAAAAAGATTAAATCCACAGATTACTTATCAAATATAAATATTACCAGTATTTAGTTTATAAACTTTAAGTCAATGATTGCTACTTTTCTTTTAGAAATATAATTAACAAAGTAAGAAATTGATGATCATCTAATTGTATATTAATGACCTTATTGTGAAAGGCATATTAATGCTTATGATTACTGAAAAAATGACAAAAGATCTAGTTTTTTAATCCACCGGTGATGCCAATGTTACCTATTTAGCCAAAGTAGTAGAGGTTTGTCAAATTTTTGGTCTGTCCAGTACCTTAGGGAATGTACCCTTGCAAACATGTTCAGTCCCTAAGTCTGTCTGACTTTGCGACCCCAAGGACTGCAATCCTCCAGGTTCCTCTGTCCATGGGATTTCCGAGGGAAGAATATTGGAGTGGGTTGCCATTTCTTTCTCCAGGGGATCTTCCCGACCCAGGGATCGAACTCTCACCTCCTGTACTGCAGGCAGACTCTTTACCACTGAGCCACCAGGGAAGCCCAATGTACCCTTAGGTAGAGGCAAAAACTCACTTTATCATCTTCCCTTAAGGTTAGGGCATAGGCATGTGGCCTAGGCTCTGCCACTTGGATACACTTAAGACAGTCTTCAGTTCAGAAAAAGCAAGCACTGTGAAAAGCAGGCATTGCGAAAACTATTCTAGTGAGGCTGGTGGTAGATATAGCTAGCTGAAAGGCAGCAGTGGGCAAAGATCTTAGAAGCAGTGTCTATTGCCCAGCATCAGAATTGTAAACTTCTTTTGCCTGTGACAAGGGCATGGGCCCCAGTAGAGCAAGCTGCGGCTGTACCAGGGTGAGTCCTGATTGGATGGCTTTCCAGCCATATTGTCTGTCCAGCAATCCTAGAGACTCTGAGCTACCAAATCACCTTTAACAAATGCTTCTTCTGGTTGAAATAGAATAGACTGATAGAAAAGTGAAACACAATCAATCAAGTCATTTAAAAAAACACCATCTTTATTTTATATTTCTTTTGTAATCAAGAAAATTTGATAAATCCTTCATAAAAGAAAAACACAAATTTTTCAGCTGGTACCAAGGAATCCCCTGGTTTGGAATGGGGGTTCTAAAAAGAATATTAAGAATCCATGTTGTTGTCACTTCAGAATATGAAGCCAAGAGGTAAGAAGAATTTATCAAAGATTCTGGTCACTAGGATACGATATGCCTACAAGTAGTAATAAAACATAATTTTACTGAACAGTAGTATAAATAGATGTTTTTATTACCGGGTGAGAAGTTACTGTCTTTACCAGACTAACGTCGATTATCTTGGCATCTGGCTTTATCAGTTCATCCTCAAAGCACAGTGGGAGCAGGCTTTTCTGTCTTCCTGAATACTCATTTAGTTGATCATTTCTGATGGATTCATTTTCTTTTGTACCAAAATCATTGAAATCAGAAGAAGATTTTATTCTGAAAATGAGTAGAAGTTCAGCATAAATGTTTATAGGACTGGTTTCAGCTTATCAGTTTTTGTCTACCTATCCCATTCCTCAAAATAACTGCCGCTAACATCTCCCTCAGATTCCCCTGCCATACTTTCAACCTGATAAGACCATCATTTGCTGCTTGTTTGTGGTGGAAAAAAGCAAAAGCAGGAGTGGAAGCAACACAGTAATACATGTGCCTCTGGTTTTTGAGTGGGGAGGAAGTACATTATGTAGGTTGAGGAGACCAACAAAGGAAGACAGGTATATTTGCCACATCTTTTGTTGAGATTCTGGGACAATAGTTCTTTTCTAGGTAGCTTCCTGTCAACACAGGGTCACCTTAGCTTTATTATCAGGATGAAACGATGTGGTCAGGCAGAGAGAAGATATAGCTTTCATTCCAGATCTCCATGGGTCCACAAGTGACATGAACACTCAGATTAGGCTTGCCAACAAGCTTACTATCACAGGGGTAAGCCACAGCAAAGGCTTCCCTTGGGTGAGGTATAAATCGACAGTCTAAGAACAGATGAAGACATGACAGAAACTCACTGAGTTCTACTGTTCTAATGATACCTGAGAGTGGACCCTATCCAAGTTCAGAGAGAATAGGCTGTAAGTTCATGAACCACAAGTGTCAGTAGCCACAGAACATCTAGAAATGAGGCCAGCAGTCCAAAGGCACTGACCAAGATTATTGGCCAAATACCTTGTTCTCAATGTTACAAAGTCCAATGAGTCCCTCACTCAGATACCATCATAGAAAGAAACAGAAGAGCTGTTTTAAACCTAAAGTGGCTGTGAATTTTTACTCCAATAACATAATCTTCTGAGTGACCAACCAATTCAAGTGATTCCCTAGGTGGTTTTTTTTTTTTTTCCAGTTTGAGCTGAAATTTTAAAAGATTTTCATAAAAGGTACATATGTATTATGGTATTTACAAAATATTTTGTATAAAATATTTTACATTGAAAAATAACATGCAAAGTATTTGGTTTCTTGCTTGATCTGTAGAAGCTATTTAGTAAAAACAAATAAATAGAACTGGAAAAGACTGAGATCAAGAATCTAATGTTTGGCTAAGACGGATCAAACATAAAACTGGTCTTGGAGATTTTTGTTGAAGAAAGGCATTCCCGAATTTGCAAATCTCTCTAATATGTAAACTCATCATTAGTCAGTGAAAGTGAAAGTCCCTCAGTTGTGTCCGACTCTTTGTGACCCCATGGACTATACAGTCCATGGAATTCTCCAGGCCAGAATTCTGGAGTGGGTAGCCTTTCATTTCCTCAGGGGATCTTCCCACCCCAGGGATGGAACCCAGGTCTCCCACATTGCAGGCTGATTCTTTACCACTTGAGCCACCAGGGAAGCCCAGTAGGAAGCCTCAGATGGTTAAATACCTGGTACAGAGAGAGGTCAGTTAGCATATGCATAAGGTCAGTTAGATCTTGCCACCTGGCATGAGTAAAGTGTCCAACTGAACTCTTCCAACTACGACTGCTGGCCACTCCAGCATTTCTCTACTTTCTTAAATATGTTCCCAGACACACATGCTGTAAGCAGTAAATTCAGCTTTTTCTCTTGCTCTCAAGTAGTTTGTATTCTAGTGCAATGTTTCCCTAACTTTCCCACATAGTGACATTTTAGTTAATATTCTTTCTTCAGTACACCGGGATAAATAAACACTCGAGGACACTCATAGCCTGGCCACCATAGAGCCACCTGAGCAATCTTTAAGTGCCTTAAAGATCTCAGCACACCTATAACTCTCCAAGCACAACAAATTGCCACGGTATATTAAAGTCAGTTCATTCAGCCTGTTCTGTTTTCTTCTTTACACCAATTATCTCCATGTTGGATATCTTTTTTTTTCTGTTAATGTACTATCTTGTCTAATCCAATCATATTTTTATCCTTTCATATTTCATTGCATGCAATTTTCCTAAACGTGCTCTTCAGATCTTCAGTTTGGCTTGCTCCATGTTTATTCTACTCCCCTACTTTTAATATACCTGTCAGTTCTGCATCATCACTACCTATTTCCTTAAAAATATTAACTCTAACAGCACCATTTCATCCTCAGCAACTATCTTTTGTATTTTCAAACCTTATTTCACAGGATCTTTATTTTCTTTGATTTCTTGAGCACATGAAGCAATAATGTCTAACTTTTCTCCTATTTCATAGGTTACACATTCTGTCAAAATGCAACCATTAGCCATATTTTAAATTATTCCCTTTTTTTGTTGCAGAATTGTTGATAGGGGCCATGTTTGGTTTTTATTTTTTTCATCTACTCACCTTCAAATTAGGACACTTTAATCTGGCCTTGATATTATCCCCCAAATAATAGGGTTACATTTTCTTGGGATGTTCTCCTTATTTACCTGAGTATTATTAAATTCTCTCCTTAAAGATTAACAGGTAAATCCAGATATTTTTACTTTACATTATCAGTTTGGGCATTCAGCTATCTGAGTAAGCTGGTGAAGGAGGTGGAGCCCTGAAAAATCATGGGGAAATGTTTCTGTGCACTGAATGTTGTGTGAAACCTCTTCAACGACTCTAACATGGTAGTGTGGTGGGTTCTCTGCCCATTTACAGGTGGGGTGCCACTGAGTTCCAGTTTTTTACCTCTCTCTTGGGGTAAGCAACCCAGTCTGGTAAGGAAGTCAATCAAAGAATGGCTGCATGGCTCTTGGACTGTTGGATGGGGGCATGTTTTTGTTTTGTTTTGTTTAGACAGGATCTAGGTGGCTATTACTCACACTTGCAAAGATGATTCCTAAAAAATTGTATCTGGTCTCTTCTGTTACCAATCCTCCTTTCAAGACCTTGTTCCTCCAAGTTAGGAGGTTTTCCCTCTAACTGAGAACATCTAAAGAAATCTTAACAATACTGCTAACACAGACTTGGAGTACTGTGATTTACAGTGAGGAAAGGGATCCCAAAGGGGAAGATTTCCCATGTTCATATGATTCATCATTGTTTATAAACCTTTCTCTTTGAGTGTGTGAGTGTGTGTGTGGTGGGAATGGGGTTGGGTAGGGGAATGGTGCTTAACAGAAGTATTTTCAGAATATTCTCTACTGGCTCCTTCAATATTGCCCTGCCTCCTTTTTTACAGAACAGGAATTGTGCATTGACTTCTGTAGTCTTTTCAGACGTTCATATGTAATACATAGTAGATTTTCTTTGAGTTTGAGATAAACTGTCCTAGTTTCAAGTAAATGAATTTTTCTTCTCTTTTACTTACTTTAGCCAGGACAAACCTGTATGTAGGTTGCCAACTTTCCCAGAAGTCTTAATTTGGAACTTTAATAAAAGAATACAACACTTTTTCTGTAGAGAAACTCAAGAAATTTTATAAAGGGAAATTTGCTTTGCTGAAAGAGTAGAACAGTCTGCCACTGCTATTAAGGAACACTTCAGAGAGAATGTAATATCTCAGTAGAATCTTAAACGATAAGTGGTAAACAGAGGGTTGCCTACTTAAGAATCCCCCCCCACCAACTTTTTTTTTTTTTTTTTGCTAACAGAACTCTGATCCTATTCATTTTTCTCCAAGCAACCCTATACTTCAAGGGAGGTTGGGCTCCTTCCTAAATCAAGGGACTGAATCTTGAATAATCTAAAGCTGTGCTTTTCAAAATGTGACCTACAACCCATCAGTTTAGATACTAAATCAATATAGCATCTCTTGACCAACATCTTAAAAGTAGAAGAGAGTGTATCACATAGATCCTTAGTAGTAACTATTCAAAGCACTAAAATACTGCAATCAATTTCAACTAGTAGAAAGACAAATAATTAGGGATCTATGAATCTGAATCTTCTGTTCCATAGATAGATTGATAAAGACATCAGTCTTTGTAATACAGAAAGTATTAATATTTCATACTGTGGATCATATTAAAAGCAGATAATGATTTATTGGTTTTTAATTTTTATTTTTAAAACCTTTTTATTTTGTATTGGGGGTGTAGCCAATTAACTATGTTGTGATAGTTTCAGGTGAACAGTGAAGGGACTCAGCCACACATATACATGTATCCATTCTCCCCCAAACTCCCTGATTTATTGGTTTTTAGGTATGGGTGCATGAAGCTTTTCTAGCCAAGGAGACACCAGAGGAGGACTTCTGGAGGGCGTTGGAGAGCATTTTCCTCATTCTTACAAAAGGGTCAAAGAGTTTATCTCTTTTTCATTGGGTGTTGTTTCCAGTTTGGTTGAATAGTAGTCACCATCTTATATGACAAGGCTGTAGGACATTTTATATTTATAAGATATAGACATCTTATCTAGCAAGGCTAGAAGGACAAACTACTTGGTGAGACAATTGAGGGAGGATTGAGAAGCTGGATGTTCGATGACATCATTAAATACCTAAGTTAACCTGGAGCTGCCTTACTGATGGACATCTTGCTATTTGAGACTATTCAAGATAAATAGGAATCTATCAGGTGCAGAAGTATGTTCTAAGCATAGAGAATAGAATGGGTCAAATCACGTAGCAGTTGGAACAGACTATTTATTCACTGTGAATAGGATCAGTAAAGGACAGAATACATGGCTGGAAAGATATTATAAGCCATACTCAGGAATCTAGACTTTACCATTTTTGTAATAGAGAGTCTTCAGATGTTATTGAGCAGCAAAATAATGTGTTATATGATTAGATACTGCTATTTCTTTGTTAAAGGTTTCTTAATGTTTATATCTTAAAGTTAGATTCAGTTAAGTTCCAGTTATTTCAGTATAAACACACAATATCTATACCTGTAAATAGAGTCTTCCTTCTTATATGCATTAGACTGATTGCTGGGTACAGAAGAAAAGACTGTAGAACCCGATGTTCTTCTACATTGGGGTCTATACTGTGAATATAATTCCTGGAAGGGCTTAGCATATTCTGTCTATACATGAAGAAAAGGAGAAACTATTTTAGAAATTATTTTTCCATGTCTATATTAATAAATAATTTTTACCTGATTATTCACATTTGGTATACCTAACTATGATAACAAATAGCTGTATATACTAAGTTGCTTTAGTCTGTCCAATTCTTTGTAACCCCATGGACTGTAGCCAGCCATGTTCCTCTGTCTATGGAGTTTTTCAGGCAAGAATACCAGAGTGGGTTGCCATTTCCTACTCCAGGGTATCTTCCCGACCCAGAGATCAAACTTGTGTCTCCTAAGTCTTCTGCATTAGCACACAGATTCTTTACCACTGAGCCACCTGGGATATATATACATATTTGAATAGTGCTGGGCACTCTCAAGTACTGTATAATTTTTACTATTATTATTATTTGCCACAAGAAAAAAGAAAGGCAACTAGGAATTCTAGAAAAAGTACACAAGACAGTCAAGGTCTAAACATAAGGGAAACTAATGGCATTATTTTTTAGTAACTGATGGAGAATAAGAAAAAAGAGCCTATTATGTTTACATTGTACTCAATGAGAAGAAACACAATCCTAGCACATTACTTTATTCTATAATAAACAATTTAAAAAATATTAAGTGCTGATTATAGTATTTTTAATTTTAGAATTAACCTACAGGCAAAATATAAAGGCTTAGTCAGAGTTGAAAAATGAATATAATCATTAACCTCAAAATGTAGGAATAAATATGCACTTGACCTAGGGAAGAAGATGTGGAGGAAAGGCTAAAACTGTTAAGATCTTTCATGTGACGTACAAGAGGAATCAGGAGTTATTGATTATAGTTAACAGGAAAGAAGAACATATTTAGATATACTATTTCAAGGTGCAAAAGTTAAAATAGAAGAAGCAGAAAAGTAACTATCATAGATCCAGAAGAGGAAAGAGGGAGAGAGGTGAGATGTAGAGCAGTGTAAATAAGCTAATTCAAATTTTTGTCTTTGATTATGTAGTAAATACTGCTTAAAGTGAAGTTGTTCAGTCGTGTCTGACTCTTTGCGACCCCATAGACTGTAGCCTACCAGGCTTCTCCATCCATGGGATTTTCCAGGCAAGGGTACTGGAGTGGATTGCCATTTCCTTCTCCAGGGGATCTTCCTGACCCAGGAATCGAACCCGGGTCTCCTGCATTGCAGGCAGACGCTTTACCCTCTGAGCTTTACCAGGGAAGCCCCAATACTGCTTAAAATTGATAAATAAAAAAATAGCAGTAGAAGCTCATTCTTTAGAATTGTAGTTAATCATAAGAGGAATTGAAACCACCAAAGATTAAACTTCATTGCTTCTGCAAAGAGGAAATTAGAACAGGAAGAATAGGTGGAGGACTTAGTGCTCTTATTAGCCACATGTCCATAAGGATAAAACTAATAATCCAGACATTGTATTTTATCAATATTTTTTAAAATTACAAAAAGTAAAAAAAAAAAAAGCAGTAACTATCCAACAAAATGATAATTTGTTATTAATTATGGTGCAGAGTATGTATTTCTTCATGTTTCATTCTCCATATTTGCAATAAACTGTGTTGTTAATAATAACACCTAAGAGACTCTTTTTGAATTTCCTTTGATGATTCTCTGTATTAATTCCTCTTTCTAATAAAACCTGAATGATAGCCAGGCATGCTCAATGGTCAAGGCTGGCTGGTCACTTTACAGGATGCCTTTGTACCTCAGCTCAAGCAGTCAGCGAGAGTCAATAGTGTTGTTACTACAGACATAGAGGACACACTTGGGGCTGCCAAGAGGGAGAGGTGTGGGGGAGGGATGAATTGGGAGCTTGGGGTTAGCAGATGCAAACTATTATATGTAGAATAGGGCTTCCCAAGTGGTTCAGTGGGTAAAGAATCTGTCTATGATACAGGAGAGGTGGGTTCCATCCCTGGGTCAGGAAGATACCCTGGAAGAGGGAATGGCAACCCATTCCAGTATTCTTGCTTGGAGAATCCCATGGACAGAGGAGCCTGGCAGGCTATAGTTCATAGGGTCACAAAGTGTCAGTCACAACTGAAGCAAATAAGCACGCAAGCACCCACATATGTAGAAAGGATAAACACCAAGGTCCCACTGTGTGGCACAGAGAACCATATTCAATATCTTGTGATAAACCATAAGGCCAAAGAATATGAAAAGAATGTATATGTAAGTATAACTGAATCACTTGGCTATACAGCAGCAATTAACACAACATTGAAAACAAACTATACTTCAGTAAAACAAATTTTTAAAAAAATTTCCCAATAGAATTGTTTCTAAACCTAATATAATCATCATTATTGCAATTATATGAGCTAAATAACTATAACAAAATGGTCTTGGCTACATATCAAAAGATTAACAAATGGATGTATATTTTCATATTCTAAATTAAAATAAAATATTTAAGTTATGTATGTATACTTTTCTATGAGGCCCTGTCTTAACAGACTTTATGATAAATGCTAGTACTTCACACATTCAAAAAATAATTTTTACTGTATTGCCAGTACAACAAATATATTATTTTCTTTATTATTTCCATATTTAAAGTTTTACATATTATAAGAGGTGAAATCATTTAAAATTTTTTCTTTCTGAATCTTAAAATTCATTTGAATTTCAGATTTGTAGACAAATGCATAAAACTATTAGAGATAATCTGTATTTCTATTAAATAATTGTAAGTATACAAATTAAACTTACCTCAGGTATATCCTTAAGATAATGAAAAGATCTAATAGATCTTGATTTTAGATATTCTTCTATTGGCTCTAAAGAAACAAATCCAAACATAAATGATATTTCTATATTATTAGATTACTTCTAATTTAACTCAATAAACCATTTTCTCTACTTGTAAATTTTTTTGGAAATGCAGTTTGTTAGAGCTAAATATATTCTAGAATAATTTGCTTTTAAAACAAATTTCTACTAACAGAATATAACTTTCAGTTACTGTTATACAGTAAAGCTCTATTTTCTTAGAAAAAACTGATTTCTAAATAAACAGAATCATACTTGATAGTCAAATAAATCTCTTCATTAATTTCTTTGAAAAGAGAATTATTGCCTTCAACCTGAATCCCCCAACTCCAATTATGAATTTTCCTAATTTGGATTATCATTTAATGGATTTTTTAAAAAGTAGGTATAATGTAGGGTCAAGCATACAGACTTTGGAGGAAGATAGCCTGGGACTTATTGGGTTCCCTGGTGGCTTATTGGCAAAGAATCCGCCTGCAATGCAGGAGACACAGGTTCAATCCCTGGGTGAGGAAGATCTTCTAGAGGAGAGCATGGCAACACACTACAGTATTCTTGCCTGGAGAATCCCATGGACAGAGGAGCCTGGTGGGCTGTGGTCCATGGGATTGCAAAGAGTCGGACGTGACAAAGAGACGGAGCAGCAGAGAGTCCCAGACTTGAAGCTTGCTTCTGTCACTAGCAACAGCAGCAAAGCCTGGGACCAGAAACTCTTTTTCTGTTTGTGAGTTAATTAGTTTCAGAAAAATCATTTTACCTCTCTGAGTCTTAGTTTCCCCCTCAGTTAATTGGAAACAGTAGTACTTATGTAACAGGGATGCTGTGAGGATTAAATGAGATAATAGATGTAACAAACTTACATCTGGTATTCCTTCAATCAACAGTTATTTGTTGATCACCTGCAATGTGCCAGAAACTGGTGCTGGACTCTGGAATTGTGATTTCTGTCCAATGATGCACACATTTTAGTGGATAATGCCGAAGAGAATCAAATAAAGAAAAGAGTGAACAATTGAGATGCACGCTGTGACATAGACAGATTTTGGTAAGAAATAGCATTAGAGGGAGGTGTAATTTATCAATAGATAGAGTAGTTGCCATGAATTGAATGTTTGTGCTCCTCCCAAAATTCATATGTCGAAGCTCTAGTTCTCAATGTGTTAGTTTGGGGAAGTGGGCCTTTGGGAGGTAATTAGGTTTAGATGAGGAGATAAGGGTAGAATGCCTGTGATGAGATTAATGCTCTTTCTCCACCACGTGAGAATAAAGCAAGAAGGTGACGATCTGAAAACCAGAAGGCTCTCGCCAGAACCGGACTCTACTAGCACCCTGGTCTCAGACTTCCATCCTCCAGAACTGTGAGAAATAAACGTTTATTGTTTTAAGTCTCTCAGTTTACAGTAGTTTGCTCTAGTAGCCTGAATAAAGAGAGAACTGGAGACTGAGAGGTACTGTAACAAATACCAAAAATATAAAAGCACCTTTGGAATTGGCTAGCGGGGTAGAGGTTGAAACAGTTCTGAGGTGCATCCTAGAAGAAGCCAATACAGCCGTGAAGAGATTTTAAAGGCAATCCTGGTAAGAAGTCAGAAAGAGAGAAGACAGCTGTAGAGAAGGCTTCCATTTTTAATAGAGAATACATGAATTACCAAATGCAGAGATGTTGGTAGAAAGATGGATGGTAAAGGCCATTCTGATGGGGTCTTAGACAGAAATGAGGAACACTGGAGAAAAGGTGATCTTTGTTAAAAAGTGGCAAAGAACTTAGCTGAATTGTGTTTCTATTGTAGTTTTTTGTGAGTGATGAAGTTGGATAGCTGAGATTTCTAAGCAAAGTGTTAAAGAAGAGTCTTGGTTTCTCCTGGCTGCCTGAAGTAAAATGCAAGATAAGAGAAATGAACTGAAGGCAAAATCATTAAGCAAAAGGAACCAGAACTCACAAATTTAGAAAATTCTCATATTACAAAAGTGAGAAAGCATGCTCAAAAGAGAACATTAAGGATGTGGTGAACATCTGATAAAGAGTTAAGGAGATTAGCATGGGAGTGAAACACGGACCTGATCAGACATCCCAGCAAAGACACAGCCAGTTTGAAATGAAAGGGATAAAGACAGGATAAAATGAAGAAAGGCTGTCAGACTTCTTGGCTTTTACGGGATAGGACCACAGAGCAATCCACTGCAAATATGTTATTCCTTAAGACAAGGGAAGAAAGACTATGAAGGTGACTCAGAGATCATCAGGCCTGCCCCAGTTTCTGCCTGCCAAACCCTTGGGAGGAGGCCAACACTCCCACTAGATAAAGTCCTGGGGAAGGAATTCTGGCCTTCCAGAGTCCCAGTGGGGTGGTGGGAGAGGTATGACCCTTCCCTACTCAGCAGAGTTTTAAGAGCAGGACCTCTGCCCTGGTTGCTCAGGAAGGCAGAGCATGAAGTCAAAGAGGATTATTCTTGAACCTTAGTATCCATAAAGTTTGTCTTAGTGGGTTTCAAACTTTTTTTGATCTATCACTCCTTTCTTCTTTCTTATTTCTCCCTTTTGGAATGAGAATGTCTATTCCATTCCTGTCCCGTCGTGTATTTTGGAAGCACATAATTTGTTTGATTCCACAGGTTCAAGCTGGAATTTTACCTTAGGAGCAATCATACTGAGTCTCCCCACAGCTGATTTAGAAGATATTTAGGTGAGACTTTGGACTTCAGTAATAACACAAAACTTAGTATGGCAGTAAAATAATTAACATGTTCTAAGATTCTTTTATTGTTCAGAAGGAGGGTAACACTATAGCTTGATAATCATGTAAATGATTATAGGATAATCATTTTAGGATTAAATCATTTAGGATTAAAGGATAATCATTTAAAGAATAGAAAAAGAGTATATAACTTCCAAATTAGTAAAGGAGAAAAGTTTAAATTTCAAAAACTCAGTCCTAAATAAGACATAAGAGGACCAAAAAAGAATCAATAAGAGAGACAGAAAGAACAAAATAAGATGGCAGATTTAAATCCAAAGATATGAGTAGTTACATTAAGTGCAAATGGACTAAGTGTTTCATTTCAAAAACAAAGATTACAGAGTAGATTTTAAAATCTAACAATTTGATGTTTACAAGAGATGTCTCTTACATAAGAGATAGATGATAATGTTACAGAAATCATGGTAACAAGATGATAGCAAAGATATATTATGTAAATGTTAGCCAAAAGAAAGTAGGGGTAACTATAGTAATTTTTGATAATAAGATAATCACTTCATAATTTAAAAAGATTCAATTCACTAGAAATATGTAATAATTCTACAATTTCATACAATTAATAAGACAGCCAAAATAGTATTCAAGATCTTTAAAGCAAAATTCAATAACACTTACAAGGAACAGTCAATAAGTCTGAAATTTCTTGGCAACTGACAGAATAAGCAAGCAGAAAAATCATTAAGGATATAGAAGAGTTGAAAAACACAATGAAGAAATTTGACCTAAAAGACATATATTGAAAACTGCACCCAATAGCTGCAGAATATACATTATTTTCAAGCACATACTGAACATTTCCAACAATTGACCATGTACTGGGTGAAAATGCAAGTGTTAAACTAATTACACAGGACTGAAATTCTATGGAGTATATCCTCAAACTGCAGTGTAATTGTGCTAAAAACTTATAATGAAAAGATAACTAGAAAAGCCTCATATATTTTGAATTAAGATATAACTTCTAAATAACTAATGGGTCAGAAGAAGAAATTATAATGGAAAACAGAAAAAAATCATGATACTATTGAAGAACAAGGTAGGAAGACTTTCTTTACCAGATATCAAGGGTTATTTTAAGCTATAGAAATTAATGTATGGTATTGATATTGAAATGGATAAATAATTGAATGAAACAGAATAAGAACTCCAGAACAGAGTCCAGAGCATTAGGGAAAGAATAGCCTTTTTAATATCATGCTGGGATAGCTGGGTATTCACGAGAACAAAAACTACATTTGACCCTTGGGATGTGCATGCATGCTCAGCTGTATCTGACTGTTGGCAACCCCCATGGACTGTAGCCCGCCAGGCTCCTGTGTCCATGGGATTTCCCAGGCAAGAATACTGGAGTGGGTTGCCATTTCCTCCTCCAGGGGATCTTCTTGACCCAGTGACTGGACCCAGTGATTAAACCTGTGTCTCCTGCATCTCCTGCATTGGCAGGCATATTCTTTACTACTGTACCACCTGGGAATCCAGATTTGACCTTTGCTTCACTCAAAATGTAATTCCAGATAGACTTGCAAAAGAAGAACAAAAATCTTTTGCAAGATAAGTAGCAAAAGATATTCAGGACCACGAAGTAGGAAAGGATTTCTTAGATATGGAACAAAAAGTACTTATCAAACAGGGAAAGAGTTTGAATATTTGACCTTATTAAAGTAGAAGAATTCCTGTTCATGAAAAAGACAACATAAAGAGAAAGAAAAGAAACTCACAGAAAAGATGAATATATTCACAATACACAAAACCAACAAAGAATGAGTAAAAAGAATATATTTAAAAATCAAGGAGAAAACAGCAAAAAGCTAAATTTAAAATAAGGTAAAACTTAGATGATTTCCAAAAGTATAAATCCAATTTGTCAATAGTTTATGAAAAAATTTTCAAACTTACTAGTAGTCACAGAAATGCAAATAAACCATAATGGTGTACTATTATATACCTAGTAGAATGCTAAAATTAAAAACTTGCAATTTCAAGTGTTAGAAAGCAGAATAAAAAGAACCCTCACAAATCTGATGAGAACATAAGTTGGTAAAAACACTTTTACCATTATCCAATATATGATGGAAAGTAGTCATCATCTATTGTTGAAGATAAGCAACCCTGGTAATGTAAATTCTGGATATACACTGTCAATAAACTTTTACACAAATGCAGCAGGATGCGTTAAAAAATATTCATTTCAGCATTGCAATGACAAAGTAAATCCCCAAATTTCAAGAGTGGCATGAATAAACAGTGATATAGTCGTGCGATGGAATACTTAACAACAATGAAAATGAAAGAACTACGCCTCCACACAACAATGTGAGTGAATGTTACAAACAATGCTAAGAAGAAAGAAAAAGAAAATACAAATGAACGCATATGGCATGATTACAATCATGTACAGTAAAAACCAAGCAAACTATATTTTGTAGAGATTCAAAAAATAGATGGTAAAAATGTAAAGAAAAGGAAGTGATGACCACAGAAGTCAAGACAGTAGTAACTCCCAGGGACAAGGAAGGGAAAAGTGATTTGGAAAAGGTCAAGTGGTTTTCTGGGAAGTTGGCAATGGTCTATTTCTTGACTTGCAATATGGTTATATAGGTGTTTATTTTTATAATTGAATGTTATAGTGCATATTTTATGCTATATTCACTTTTTAGAATGTATGCTATTTCATAACTTAAAATGGTTTAACAAAAAAAAGAAGGAAATTGATTAGAAAGAAGGCAAGAATGAAAGAAGAAATACCTGTCAGCAAGCTACTGTAGCTGAAACACAAAAATGATGATTTGGATTAGAGTGGTGATAGCAGAAACAGTGAAAATAGATTAATTCAAGATGAGTTAGAATGAAAAGAACTTGTCGATGTATTGAATTTTGGAGAGGAAGGAAAGGGGAGATGAAGGATGGCTTCTAGGCTTTATTATTTTGTTTTATTTAATTTTTACAAGATTTTTTATGTAGATCAGTTTTTAAAAGCATTTATTGAATTTGTTACAATATTGTTTCTGTTTTATGTTTTGGTTTTTTGGCTGTGAGGCATGTGGAATCTTAGCTCCCAGACCAGGTATCAAACTTTCACCCCTGCACTGGAAGGCGAAGTCTTAACCACTGAACCACCAGAGAGGGCCTGGCGTCTAGGTTTTAGACTGGAGTCACTTGGTGCACTTTCATCCAAAGTACTGAGAATGGAATGCTGTTGAGGGGCAGGGGGAATGGGAGAAAGTTTTCGAGGACAGTGAGGATAAGGAATCATGAGACCAGTTCTGGATATAAGGTTTAAGATGTAGTGAGAAGTTTAAGTGGAGATATCAAATAGGCACTTCAGTATAGGCATCTGTTCTTCAGAGGATTAGTCTGGACTGAGATACAAATGAAGGATTTAATGTTATTTCTACGGTATTTTAAACTATAAGACTGGATTAGATTCCCTAAGAGGAGACAGTGTAGAAACAGAGGCAGGCTCAAGACTGACCTCTCAGCAAATACAGTACTTTAAGGATGGAGAAGAGAAATTAAGTAGAGAGACTGAGAAGAGGCGAGAGAGCAGAAAAACAGAGTTTCAAGAAGGAGGGAGTGATGAACTAACTACACTGGTGTTGAGAAGTGGAAGAAAACAAAAACAAAAATCCTTTGGATTTAGCAACACGGAGCTCATTGGTATCCTTATTCAGGGTAGCTTTAGTAGGATGGTAGAGGCAGAAAAACAAATTGCAGCAGGTTGAAATTTGAACAAAAGTTGAAGGAGTAGAGACAGTATATGTAAACGAATCTTCTGAGGAATCAGGTTATGAAGAGCAACAGAAATGAGGCAAATGGGACAACATGGAAGCAAGGCATCTCAGTCAAGGTTGTTGACGAGAACAACACAATCAGAAGTGTTTCTGAGAATGTCAGAGAAAGAACGAAGATGACATAAAACACCCAGATTCTCTGAGGAACTGTGATGCTGGTTCCTAGCTTACAGATTCCTTAAGTTTTTAGGAAAGTGAATTCTTTTACAGTCCCTACAAAGTAAGTTTCTACTAAGCAAGATGTCCAGGCTTGAGTGATTATTTTAAAAACAATAATAAGAAAATTCAGGATTGAGTTGAAAGGAAATCCAAATATTTTCTTTCTAGCAAAATAAACATAAAAATATGAATTTTTTGTGAATTGTACAAATTGCCTATTCTGATATTTATCATCTCTTTCTCCTAGGAAGTCCTTCTTGATAGCTCACTGAAATCTTTCCCAAGCATTTTCAAGAAAATGCTTTCAACAGAAGCATCAAATTGTAAGAACTTATAAGACAAATTATAAGAACTATAAAACTAATAAATGATAAAGTAGTAAATAAAAGCATTCAATACATCAAAAGTGAGGCAAATATGCTACACAAAACATTACCTATTGACTTGATTTCCTGAGTTTTTATATTTGTTGGCAAAAAGGGTGGTCTTAAATTTGAGTTTTGAAAATCACTTTTTTTAGGTTCAGGCATATTTTTGAAGGAGACAGATCTGAAAGAGAGAAAATTAATCTAAATTAAAATAATCAGAAAATTTATAAAATAACTTAAAACATACATATGAAGAAATGTGGTCAAGGCCCAGTTATACACATTTGAATGTTGTTGTTTTAATATATTATCATACAGTGTAAAAGACTGGGACTGATTAAGCAGAAACTGAAAATATTAGTAAGAAAGAAATAGAGAAAACTGCTGGTGTTACAGGATTGAGGGCACTCAGGAAACTACTGTTCAAAAGCTATATTGACCCTTTAAGAAAAATACCTTAGAAATTGTTAAATTAAATATTAGGAACACTGCCAACTCTAGTCAAGCAGTGGGATATGGATTTAGGGTCAGTTCAGGTTCTAGAACAGAATACCAGGTAGGATCACGACATCTACTTACTGTGAACAAAAACTTCTCTCCTCTAAATTCTTTGACTATTGATGGTATATAAGGAAGTGAATACTACCATATAATCCATGGTAATTCTGACCTTTAAATACTATGACTTAGACCTCAGACACTCATCTTTAGTTTACATCATCTAGTCCTCCACCTTTAAATATTATCTATAGATTGGTATCCTCCAGATTTTTAATACAGACCCCAAACTCTTCCCTGAATTCCAGATGTATGAATCCAGCTGCTTCATGACGTCTGCAGTTAGATGTATTGTGGGAATCTCAAACTTATATTCAAAACCAAATGTTTCCTTTCGCTTTCTTTCCAATCTGTTTCTCACCCAGGTTTTCTCAATTCCATTCAACCAGACGGTTAGGCCAAAATTCTGCACTCAAGTTTGTTCCTGTTTGTTTTAAAAATTTTATTGGAGTATAGTTGCTTTACAATTTTGTGTTAGTTTCTGTTGTACAGCAAAGTGAATCAGCCAAATACATACTTGTGTGCGCATGCTCAGTTGCTTCAGTCATGTCTGACTCTTTGTGACCCGCCAGAGTCCTCTGTCCGTGGGATTTTTCCTGACAGGAATACTGGAGTGGGTTGCCATGCCCTCCTCCAGGGGATCTTCCGGACTGAGTGAGTGAACCCTCGTCTCCTGTGTCTCCTGCATTTCAGGCGGATTCTTTTCCACTGAGGCACTGGGGAAGTCCACATATACATATATCCACTCTTTTTTTGGATTTACTTCCCATTTAGGTCAACAAGTCCATTGAGGAGAGTTCCATATGCTATACAGTATGTTCTCACTAGTTATCCATATTATACATAGGATTGATGGTGTATATATGTCAATCCCAATCTCTCAATTCTTCCCACCCATCCCCCTTCCCCCTCGGTATCTGTATATTTGTTTTCTATATCTGTGACTCTATTTCTGCTTCATAAATAAGATGGTCTATACCAATTCTTTCAGATTTCAAGTGTATTCTGCAGTCATCTTTGACTTCTGTTTCTCTCATTCCCCATTCCTGATACCTCAACAAATCTCACTGGATCTTTCTTTGAAACACATTCCAAATTGAACAGCTTCTTTGCTCATCACTTCTGTCCTAGTTCCCAGGCCCCTTCATGTCTCATCTGAACTACTTCTCCACATCTCTAGCCTTTTTCTGTCTGCTCTCTCTGCTATCTCTCTTGCGCCCAATGGTCCCAATACAAGCCATGGTGACATCCATAAAATGTAAATGAAATTGCCATTTCCCTCCTACCATTTCCTGTCACTGAAATAAAATTCCAAATTCTCACTGCAAGACAAAAACTTTCCTCAGTTCTTACATTTCTAAGTAGAGGCGCTTCCGTTGAATGCCCCTCCAGGCTTCTCTGTGCACCCCTTCACCCCTCCCCTCACCATGGAAGCAGAGGGAGTTTTCGGCTGTTTGGTTTAAGAAAAGGAACTTGAGCGCCTACTTCAGGACCTTGGCCCTTGCTCTGTCCTCTGCTTGTAATATTCTTCCCCTAAATAATGAGAGGCTTACTCACTCAAATCATAAGTGAAATATTTCATAAGTCTCTACTCAAGTTTTCACCTTTCCAGAAAGGTCTTTTTTCATCCCCTCCCATCTAAAGTAATCCCTATCAATCCTAATTCCCTTAATTTACTGCATTTTTCTTCATAGCATTTGTCACTAGTAAACTTACATTATAGGTTGATTTATTTATTTAGTTTGTTATCTATCTTTCCACCTTATCCTAGAATGTAAATTGAGGGCAGGCTCTTTGTTTAGGTCACTGTGGTATTCCTAGCACCCAGGAGAGTGACTGGCACATAGTACCTGTGTACTAAGCATTTGTTGAATGTATAAATTGTTTTGGTAAATTTCCATTGAACTTTCTTAAACTCTTACAACCTCCAGTGAGTTTTCAGTTTATTCCCTTTAGGATTTTCAATAAAGAATCATTTAATCTTCATAAAATAATTCATCTGTTCCTTTCAAAACATTTAAATTTGTATCTCATGTTCTTATGTAATATCATTGACAAATACTTCCACAATAGTTAGGTATACTAGTAAGAATGGGCATCCTATTTCTAATTTAAATGGGAATGTGTCAAGTATTCCACCCTAATGGTGTTGACTGTCGTGTTAAGGAGATGCTCTTTTTTATCCTTATCTAACAAAGGTATTTTTTCAAATACATTTGCAGAATATATTGCTTAGTTGCTAAGTTGTGTCCGATTCTCTGTGACCCATGAACTGTAGTACAACAGGCCTCCCTGTCAGGAAGGGAGGAAGGGAGGAAAGAGAAGATGATGAATTCCAGGCTCTCTCCTTCACCCCCACGCAATAGTTCTGGGAAGACCCATCTGTGATAGTGGATGTGGCTATTTTCCCCCTTTTCCTGCCCCCTCCCAGCTCTAATTCCCAGTGTCTGATCACTTGCACAAATAGAACCTTCTGTTGGATGAAGTAAAAGCAAACTACGGGACTTCAAAAAAAATAGACAATGACAAAATTTAAGAAAATAATGAGGAAATGATGCGCTTTCAGTATTTGTTTTAATATGTCATTGAATTTTTAGTTTGCATATTTAAATAATGATTGTATTTAACAATGATCTCACAAAATCCCTGCAAATTCATCACTCAGCTCTAGAGAATTGGTGGGAGCTGGCTCTATCACAACAGTGTCCCCCTAACAGAAGGAAAAAAAAAAAAGATTAAAAGAGGGAAGAGGAGGAGATGTGGTGGAGGAAGGCCACATCCACCCCCACTTACAGGTCAGGACAGAACGAATCAAATTGCTGGCATACCCTTTTCACTTCAGGTCCTCCAAGTCACTTGACTTACATATGGGGGAAGGGAAAGCCTTGGCTAATATGTAGGATCAAAATACTAAACTGCACAAACTTTTAATAACCAAAAATGGTCAGGATGAAATGGAGAAATATAGAACTGCTTTATATGGTCCTGAGTTGAGAACAGACAATGAAACAGTTAATATTTTATTTTAGATTTCTAAAAAATCTATAAGTGAAATACTGTAAGGGTTTTATATTCTCATGGTCAGACTTGAGGATCAAAGTTATCTTTATGAGAAGAATTGGAAGTATTTCATCTTTGTCTATGCTCAGAAACCACTTAAACAGTTCTTTGAAGAAACTCACCCTTGACACAACTTCAAGGTGGTGCTTTGGTAAAAGATAGTTTTCTGACAGCTTTCTCAAATATTTCTAGCTGTTGATTTATTTATGTTTTCTTCTTGCTGTTAATTCTGTTTTCACCATCCCAGACTTTCCATTACCAGACTCATGTTTCAAAGCAGCGTAGTTACAGGAGTGCTCAGTTACTTTAGTCATGTCCAACTCTTTGCATCCAACATGGACTGTAGCCCGCCAGGCTCCTCTCTCCATGGGATTCTCCAGGCAGGAATACTGGAGTGGGTTGCCATGCCCTCCTCCAGGGGATCTTCTGGACCCAAGAATTAAATCTGTGTCTCCTGCATCTCCTGCATGGCAGGCAGATTCTTTACCCACTGGGAGCCACTGGGAAGCAAAGTACTCATAATTATCTTAATTTCTTCTACATCCATGTTTATAGCTCCTCCTTTCCCATTACTAGTACTGTGCCTTTTTGCTGCCTTTTTTCCCCTTCAATTTCTCAAATTATGGTCATTTTAACATTCTTTGGGGAGGTCTTAAACATGCTAATTTTGCAAAATACTCTTAAAGATTCAAAGTGCTTATGAGAGGAAAGCAAAGTTTGGTGGAATTCCTGGGAGATGACAGCTTTATTTACTTATTTATTTATTGGTCCTTTAGTAAATGCACACTTAATTTATAAAAAAAGAAACTGAACTAAGTGCTAGGTACTTGTAAAATTAACTTTACACAAACTCTGTCCTCAATCACGTCATTTTTAGCTTACATAATCCCTTATCATGTTGTTCTCTTTCTTACTTAAAATTTTATTATATGGGTTAATTTTTTGGACTTAGTTTAGGTATAACTAAATTATAAATCCTGCTACCTAGGAGCAGATAGACTTACAGGATAGATAAAATAGCTATAGATAAAATAAAGAAAATAGATAGATAAAATAGTTCCTTCTAAGCTCAGAGGCGCCTGGATAAGAATACTCTATTAGTCACAGAGGAATAAGCCATAATTTTGTTTACCACTCAGTCTAAGAGAAGCAGCAAGTTTTCTGTCATTCTACCCCAAGCTCCTTCCCTCCAGGCAGGTGTGAAGAGCTGTGAAAAGTCAGAGATTTGACCCTACTTACAAAGTAACAAGTTGGCCTGATACAATTTCATCTCTTTTGGAAGACATGAGACTCCTGAGTCAGAGACGAAGGACTATCACACACAGGAATAGGAGTGGTATCTTCGGCATTAATTCTCTGAGCCCCAGTTCCACAGGGCAATGAGCAGAAGGCCAGATGACATCAGCACACACGCTGGGTTATGTTACAGGAATGTAACCTTGAGTTTAGGGAACACAGATCTTTTTAATGGACAGTAATATTCCTGCTCTTGCTCAGAGGAGGGCACTTTCTTTGTCTTCCAAGGCTGTCTGCTATACAAATGTCCTAGAAAAGATAGGAACA